TAAAATTTTACGATTACTTTCAAGAAAAAATATTTAAGGATGAAAACAGAAATATCTTAAATATACGAAACATACATACAAAGTCCGTTATTATTTTATTTTAATACGTGAAGGATTTCAAACATACTAACGCTTAACTGGAGAGATCCTATTTTAACCCTTAATATCCTGAATTATTATATTTTTGAAAATGATATATTTTATGGTACTTTTTGTTCGTATGAGTCCTTTAGTCGAGTTTTTGAGCTTATTTTCAAAAAAAAAAAGTTATTAGCTGTGACATATATGTCACTCTAGGACATACAGGGAGCAAAATAAGAAAAAAATGCAAAAGCTTTATTAAACTACATATTTAAACAAAAAATATGTTTTACATATGTATAGAGAATTATCTTGTATGAAACTGCTCATAACAATCAATGCACAACCACAAATCACACGTTCTACACATGGTTCTAACAACAGAAGTGCAATTTTAAAATGCGCATCGTCGTCTTTTCTTGTTTGGAATATATAACAAGATGTGATCTTGTTTGTCAAATCTGACGGTGTCGCTGGTTCGACTAACGAGACTGCTTGAAATTGAGGGTTTTGGTCGACCTGCACTTTTAGCTTCTATACCATACTGCATTAGATATGAAGTGGCTATATCTTTGCGAAAATCGCAAAGATTTATCGATTTGTTTTATAGAATTGCCGTTTTTTTTTATAAATATGCCAAGCGTTTTCCAATAAAGCCTCTAGTAACCATGTAAATAATGGCCACCACCGTTTTTTGGATCTAATACTAATCCTGTACCTTCCTATATTTTGATCCATCAAGTCCGTCCCTCCCATCGATGAGTGGAAACCTCCAGGACTTTGCGGAATGTTCCCCAGAAGCAATTGAATGGCTATGTAAATTGGACATTAATATTTAGTGTCATTCATTCTATTCATTCTATTTTTAGTGTTTGAATAATATATATAATATATATGTGTATATTATTGTAATTGTATTTGTATATTTATCGTACTGTGAAAGTCCATACGCTAAATAAATAAAATCGATGAGTTATATTTTCCTTATGAGACAAGGACGAGGTACTTGAATAATTTTCTTCTCTTTCTGAGAAAACTTGTTTACATGTGTCATGGGTTGAATGCCATAAGAGGTAGACGCAGTAGTAACAATATTATTGTCGGACCAATGTACAAAAATTATACCTTTGTTACGTTCAATAACGCCACTACAATCACCTCGATCTGTCTGCTTTTGGAAATCAGTTTTAGAGAAAATACCATTTTCCCGCATATTGGACAGTAGGTTAACACTGGTAAACAAGTTGTCTACAAAGAGTTTATATGAAAGGTTTCTCTTATTGGTGGGTAACTCACGCAATATGTTTAGCAGTGGAGGAGTAGCTTAAAATTCTCTGTTGGTAAATGCTCAGATGGCAATAATCGTTGTTCCTCAAATCGCCGAGAATATCGTAATATTTATTATATTATAAACATGTGTGATGACACAGCGACCGCGAAATTGATACCTGATACATGATATCTGATCAATGATCATCGTTATCCAACTGGCAGTCAACAATGTTTTATAAATCTTAGTAAATAATTCGCTGGGAATGAAATCACGTCTTATGTTTATTTTTGCTGAAATACGGTAGTACATTATCCTAGTAATTCAGTATATATGTAATATAGCGGCTTCCCAGATAAGGTCTCGTCCGCGGTAGCGCAGGCACGTCTGTGCTGGTCCGTCCTATCCATCTAGAGTTGGTAACATCAAAGGTGCGGTACATGCTCGTGCGACGCGATCCTAGCGCGTCTGTGTTTTAACAGACGACAAATGCAAGTCAGAAGTTTTTCAATCACTTACACGAGTAGTTGTTTGTAGTGTTGTCAAAGTTGTTTTGCAGTTTTTTTGCTAAAAAATGGAATGAACAAAGTTATTTTTGATTTTTTAAATTTTTATCAAAATGAACCAAGTTTATGAAATTCCACGGCGCCAGAGCATAAGAACCGGAACGATGCATACGATATATGGAACCGAATAAAAAATCAATTGAAGAATAGTACTATTTCGATTAAAGAATTAAAAAAGAAGAGAGATAATTTAATGTCGACATACAGAAGGCAATGATGTTTACAAGCCTGAGTGGCCTTTTTATGATATAATCAAACATTACTGTCACGGACCTACACAGACTGTCACGGACCGTAGGAAGAGCTCTGTCTGCGGTGCGTTGTCGTCCGTGCTGATCGGCTGTCCGCGATGATCTGTAGAATAGCCGATCGTGGGAAGCCACTAATACTGAACTTTGGCGCTACACAGAACTAAGTGGTAGTGAAATATTTAAATAAAATAAGATGTAGGCTATGTATCTTTATGTAAAGCTTAACTTACTTTTTGAGCTAAAAAATTGCAAGATAAAAAATAAATCTACTTATTCTAGATTGATGTCCATTTTTTCTAAATATTTATCGACAGCTTATTTTAAATATTTACAGGCACAAAATTTTCGCACACTATGTCTTCACCATCTATGCGATTCTATCACAAGTTTTCTTACAGGGCGCTGTTTAAATTACACAATTTTGCGTAACTTATATGTCACGCTAGGATATTAAGGGTTAATACACACAGAGAGACATGCCTAATACACACTGACAGACTACAATGTAGGAGAGGGGTTAAGAATTAAACTTACAAACTTTTTTAATATATTTAATAGTACTCTAAAAGCCGTTTGTATTTGCAATTGAACACAGTAAGGAAACTCAAAATATTGTCAGAGATTAAAAAATAACTTCGACTTTCTAACAGCTTATCATTTACAGTTTGTGAGAGTCACTTTTTTTTACTTTTCATTGCAGTGAGAAAATAAATATACATCAAGTAAGTTTTTTTTTTATATGAAATGCACTAACACATACTGAATTACGTAAAAATTATATATATATATATATTATATATATATATATATATATATATATATATATATATATGTAAAGTAGTTAGGTATTATTGACTGACACGTTATGTAAAATAAAGTTTTATTTTGAGGATGCAGTCATTTAAGTAGGGCAGGCTAAGTTAAACTCTTTGTTCTTATATCAAGCTTTCGCAAAATTTATTTGCTTCATCAGGATATGCTAAAATATGTTATGGTAACTACAATGAAATTAGAATTAAAAAACATTGTATAAAACTAATATAAAAACTTACAACATGAGGTTAAACCATTAAATTATTAAATTCACAAAACTTTTTTTTTTACAAAAGAAAGCAGGAAGAGTCCATCTGCGAGTTTAGCTTTGAGCTTAACTTTTAGCACATTTTTCATCTATGCAGTCTACACCTCCGTTGTTGGCATTATATTATGAAATTATTTCTGGTTTTTCTATTAAAGAATAATTACAAGATCTATCATGCATTGATGATATTAATATTGTAGTTTTGTTTTTTCTGGCAACATAAGATACCATTGTACACTCTTCTCTAAATCCATAAACACTAGAACCAGGTTCTCTAGTTTTATTAGTTTTATTGGCCAAAAATGAAGGAGGTATTTTACGTTTGTTCTTTTTCAAAGTTCCTACATACGTAAGATTATTTTTCTGCAAAACATCTATTAGCTCTAATGACGAAAACCAGTTGTCCGCAATTATGTTTCTGTGGCTTCCAATTAAGAGCTGATAAAATCACTGCTTAACGCTTTTGATTCATGAGAGTTATAAAAATTTCCCTGTCAGTTCCATCTGTTGCAAAAAGCGTTTTTATATTCTCATGGTTCGATTTAAATACCGCAGACTATATAAAGAGTCCTATGAAAGCTTTTATATCCGTTAGCTTTACTTTTATCTCTTTTCCTACTTAGACTACATCATCAACATACATGTCTACATTATTTCCGTTAGCTTTACTTTTAGCTTTTCCTACTAAGACCACATCATCAACATACATTAAGAAATATCACTTTGAAATTTCCAGGAACGCCTTTGAGTTCGGATTTAAAAGCACAAAGGAAACATAAAAAAGCATAAAAAACCATTTTATTATACAAAAATGCATGAGAATAATATAAATTTTGACCATCCTTTTTCGAAGTTTGCCTAAAACATATTACATAACAAGTTCTAAGCTTAGCTTAATCATTATTAAGTACCTATTATAAATTTAAAACTAAATACTCTTATTAATTAATTTTTCAGTTCATCATCGATTAATCAGATATATGTATTGATGTTTGCCAACCTACAATCAAAACTTTTATTTAACTTCATTCCATCTATAACAATACCTTGTTTACAATTTTCTAATAAACCTTCAGGGTATATTTCATCACATTTATCCCAACATATTGATGTTTGCTACTGTTATATGTAATCAAAATTGTTTAAACATATCCAATACAAAAGTATACACACTGTTAGCTATAGTCATTGACTGCTTTCTTCCGACTTCCGTCCAAAAGCGTCATTTTGATCAGTTCCTATTAACAAGTACTCGTAGACACTTTGCCTCAGGGCCAGCAACCTCAGTGTTGGAGTCTTACGTTACCGTGAAGTTAATTCCGTCTAAAACTTCAACAACTTAAAATATTATCAGCAACAATGTAACTTCAAATTAATTTAATTATATTTAAAGGGTCTTTACCAGAATACTTAGTGGTTACAAACATGTAAACCTACTAAGTATTAGACCACATTTTTGCTATAACCCTAGTCAAAATTTAATCTTAACGTTTGCTTTAATTAAAGTGGTAATACTTCTTTTAGGAAAAAGCACTGATGATGGAATAGTCATTCCGAAAGTGTTCTGTGCTGTAGCCCGAAAGAGTTTTAGTTATAAACTATTTAACTAACATACTAGATTATATATTTTGATGCTTCAACAGGAATTTGCTGATTTAATGTCCATATAAATAATTCTAAAAAAAACTTCGATGTCAATAATAACGAGTTATTATTTCAACGTAATTAACATTCTGTTTTTTATATTACAGAATTCGTTTATCGGGACGAAGATTTTTTGAAAATTCAACTAGCCCTAGATATGTCATTCTTGGAGCAAAATTTGGGTACTAACAAAATAGAGGATACTTACTCCGTGCAAATACAAGAATTTCCATACCCTCCCCATAAAGTAGACTCCGCTATAACAACGCTATTTCTGGAGTTTTTGCCGCTAATCACATTATTTAGTTTTATATTTTTGTGTCCAGCGGTACTTAAGAGAGTTGTTGAAGAGAAACATTCAGGAACAAAGGTGAGACATTTTTAGAAAATAGTTCAATGTTAGCATGGTTTACTCTTTTTTTCAATTTCCATATTTTATTTTAAAAAAACTGTTGCAAAATGACCTGACGAAAACACTGTTACATATTTTTTATAAACCAATAAGTCAAGTTTATTAACTTTGCGTTTTGTACTCTAATCTGAGAAAACATGAGACCGAATACCAAATAACCTGATAGTATTGTCAGTGAATGACAAGAGTTATATAAGGCTATTTGCATGGTATGGTGTGGTATGGTATCGACAACTTAATAAAAGCCATAAAGAACACAGAGAAAACGTGCAGTACAAATCGCAGAAATGATAAGGATAACATAAGTCAAAAGACAAAAAGACTTGGAGACACAAATTAAACTTAAGAACTAACACGATAGGAATCCATGCGTACTACGAGAACTTAATAAAGATTACAACGGTTGTCGATGAAAACAGAAGTTGTAAGGGTGCTGAACAGAAGTCAAGCTCCAGGTAAGAAGATTATTAAAGCAGGCCATTCACATTCCGACTTGCGGTCCCACTTAGTAGGACTACTAGTTGGATATTCGTCTCCACTCAGGCTAGCGACTTGCTATCCATCTAGTGGTCCAACTTCAATTCAACGTCAAATAAATTTAATTTCTAACTAATATTCAGGCTTATTCCAATTAAAATAGTAAATTTGCATAAGATGTCACAAGAAAATAACTTCAGTAAAATATAAGGAAACAGTTACGTCTAATTTAAGTACAACTATGATTTAAATTTCATTCTTCTTCTCTTCAAGTTCCACTCCTATCGGAGATTGGAAAATCATTCTGGCAATTATAATTTTATTGGTTACTCGCCTGAATAGTTCAATTGAACTGCATCCAAACCATTCACGGAGATTGCGTAGCCACGAGATTTTACGTCTTCCTACGCTTCTTCTACCTTTGATTTTACGTAAATTTCATTGCTTGTTGATAATTCTCCCGTAGCCAATCCGGAGAGTTGGAAATTGTACCTGTATGGGAATGTCCGAAATAGATATACAGAAAGGAAAATTATTTGCCCTAACAAAAAGGTAATTTTCGTGCAATTGAAAGTTTATTTTCTATTAAATATTTGCGAACTAGAGATCTTTGCGTGAAGTATTTCATAGAAATCTCATAGGTAACAGGTGCCGCAACTGACTGAGGAAATTTTCGATCCGACCTGTGATCCGACTTCCAACTTCACCATTCACGCTCCAACTCTCTCGCCAGTAGGGACCTTCAGTCGTCCCACTAGAGTTCCGGCTCGTACCACTAGTTGTCCAACTAAGCCAACTAGCCCACTCACGGTCCGATTTCAGATCCAACTGCAGAAGTTGGACCACTAGTCGGACTTAAAGTTGCAACGTGAATGGTCTGTCTAAGCTAGCAGATCTAAATGGAAAAATAACAGATAAAGAGAATATAATTGAGATAGTTGAAGTATTTTACACGGAACTGTATAGAGAAAAAGATGAGAAAGTCGACATCAAGTTGAGAAATGTCGAAAATATAAGTTCAGAGTACATTCTAGAAATAACAGTTGAAGAAGTCTCAAAAGTCATTAAATCAAATGAAAAAACAATAAAGCAGTTGTTGATGACCAAATCGTTATCGAAGCAGTTAAAGCAGAAGGAAAGGCAGTATTAAATGTATTAGTACAATTATATAACTCATTCCTTTTAAAAGAAGTGACACCTTCTCAATGGAAAAAGCTGTTATAGTAGTTATACAGTGATGAGTGCCTTACACTTATCACCCGACTTTTTAACGTAAGAGATAGAAAACACAGTTACTTTGTGAAATAAAAAGAGATGAAGCTCGTAGAGGTGGGAAATAATCGATAGAAACCTATAATTTACATTACATTACATTACCACTATCGATAGTCTCACACCTTTAGACGTTAGACGTGGCTATTTGACTTCAGTCATAATTATACGGATAACCTCGAAAATATTTTATTTCAATAATTTCTGATGTTAGAATAAATAATTGAATAAATTAAGATATATTATAGTAAAAAACATTAGTTAGTAGCGATTTTAAATTATAAATCTTTTAGGTTTATTTAATAATAAAAATAACTCAACAGAAATATTTGACTAAAATAAAGGTAGGTATGTTCTGTCCGAAAACAATTAATGAATGCGGAATTGGTGTAATAGTTAGAGACGTGGTCTAATGACAAGAAGATTGGGGTTCAATTTTCACACCAAGGATAAAATTTTTGTTTATTCAATCAAAAAATAATAGAAAATATATGATACATATTAGGTTACAAGTTTTCGAAAAACTCATTATTTACAATTTATTCTTATTCCAGTTTTACTGTCTTCAGTTGTGAATGCAAAATAATCCGGTGAAGACTGTTTATGTCAAATCCATCACTAAATTCTCAGTGTTCCTCTGTACAGATAATGATTTTCAAAACAATTGACAATTGTAAATACGTTTATTTACAATATTTTTTTATTTTTGTAGAATTTTTACTTATTTAAACATTCTTTAAACGTTCTTTTAATTTGGAAGAATTTTTTACTTTATTTTCGAAAGTACGACGACACTTTTTTCAATAAGATATTTATGTTTAACTTCAAATCAAATATTAATTCAAATGTTCAAAAGCAAAACGATCTCTGCATAATTTAAAATTATTAAAAAAAAAGAAAACACATGTGGGTTTTGAACTCTAATCGTCTGCATCGCAGTGTCGAATTCTTACCACTAATCCACGAAGGATTGATAATTATTTCGTGACAAGAGTGTATAAAACTCCTCAAATCATAGTAGAAATTATTCTTGGTTAATAATTTAAAACTTTAGATTAAATAATCACTATTAATTAAATTATTTTGTGGTCAATCAGTTTTTACTTTATGCGAAATTAAAAAATGGAAATACGTCACACATACGACGTCAAACATAATAATTATGACCGAGGTGATTTAGCTCGAAGCTAACGTCTAAAGGTGTGAGACTATCGATAGTGGTAATGTAATGTAAATTATAGGTTTCTATCGATTATTTCCCACCTCAACGAGTTTCATCTCTTTTTATTTCACAAGGTAACTGTGTTTTCTATCTCTTACGTTAAAAAGCCGGGTGGTAAGGCACTCATCACTGTATACTAAATGGGAGATATATAACGGAACTGAAAAATTATAGGCCTATTAGCTTGTTATCTCATATTTATAAGTTCTTTATGAAAATAATAACTAACAGATTGACACCAAAACTAGGCTATTATCAACCTTGTGATCAAGCAGGATTTAGAGCTGCATAGGGAACAAATACAAATATACCCCTGATACTTGTCTTTGTCGACTTTGAAAAAGCAGTTGATACAGCCAACCAGGTTGTTCTATGTTCTAACGCAATACATATCCCACCGATACATATCCCTCTTCAAATACATATATGAACATGCTACAGATTGTGTAAGACTGATAAGGATACTGAGGCCTTTCGTATTGAAAGACGCGTTCGACAATGAGACATGGTTCCTAAATCGTTTACAACTTTACTAGAATATTCTATAAAACAATAGATTGGAACGAGAAGGGCATCAATGTAGATGGAAAATTTTTAAATAATCGTAAGTTGTAGATGTCATCGTTCTCATTGCGGGCAGCTTAGAACAGACGCAGATAATGCTCCAAGAGCTCCATCCTGCCACCAAAGAGCGGGTATTAAAATAAATTTTTCAAAAACACAATTTAGTCTACGGCAAAAATATCTTGAGTTGAAAACATGAACATAGAGCCAGTAGAATAAATCGAGACAGCCAAATAATCGAGCCGAAGTGAAGAATAAATCCAGTTTGGACTGCATTTTCAAAGAGGAATGATATTATTTTTAGGTCAAAGATTCTGATATTTGCAAAGAAATGTATTTATCTAGTGCATTCTGCCACTAATGACCCATGGTATCGATACCCTAGCACTCACAAGAACAACAGCGGGTAAACTACAAGTTGCGAAAACAGCAATCAAGGGAATTATGTTATGGGTTTCTCTACGCTATAGAACCTAATGCTACTATACCGAAAAGAGCAGGAGTAGCAGTCGTTATTGAAATAAAACAACATTAAACTGGAACTAGATTAACCCCGGAGGTCGACCACCGACAAGACCTATGGCCAGCAGTGGATTTTGGAGGCTAGATAATGATGATGATGAATTGCACATATCACGTCAGGAAGAATCAATGCCAGTCTCGTCGCCCATAAATCCCTACTATATATATATATATATATATATATATATATATATATATATATATATATATATATATATATATATATATATATATATATAATATATATATATATATATATATATATATATATATATATATATATATATATATATATATATATATATATATATATATGACATATACTATATGACAATTTAAACTTGCAGGCAGAAACTGCCTAAATTTAAATAAACATACTTGTTAGTATTTTTGACAATATGAACAAAGTAAATTTTGTTAACAATACTAATTGATTTTTATATTCCAGGAACTAATGAAAATGGTAGGAATGAAATCCTGGATGCTCTGGTTTGGTTGGTTTATTTATGCCATGATACCGATGTTTTTCGCCGTTAGTGTCATATCTATTTTGATGAAAGTACCAATGTTTGGGTCCGACGCTCCACTTGTTGAATTTGCCAACGGCGGAATACTATTCGTTTTTCTGATATTGTATTGTATGGCTGCAGTAGCATTTTGTTTCGCCGTCAGTTCCTTTTTCAGTAGGCGTAAGTATATTATATTATTTTTACAATAATGGATAATGCTAAACAACTGAATGACATTATACGGACATCAAATAAAACAAAATCCAAAAAATTCAACGCTATTGCTCAATTGTGATCAAACTAAAGCTTTGATGAGCTAAATGGATCATATTACATTTATAATCTATCTATCTATACAGGCCTTGCTGTCCAATTTTGGACATAGGCCTCCTCTTCCTTCTTCCACGTCTCTCTATTGTAGGCAGTTTGTGTCGACTTCGGGTCTGCGTGTTTCTTTAAGTCATCTGACCATCTCATTTGTGGCCTTCCTCTTTTTCGTTTGTAACTATATGGTCTCCAGTGTATAATCATCTTATTCCATCTCTCATCTTTCTGTCTTATGGTATGTCCAGCGAACTTCCACTTAAGTTTTGCTATCTGCGTTGATACATCGGTCACTTTTGTTTTGTTGCGGATCCAAGTATTTCTTTTCTTGTCTGATAGTCTGATGTTCAGCATTTGCCTTTCCATGGCTCTTTGGGTCTTGCTATTTTTTCCATGTTTTCCTTTGTAAACGTCCAAGTTTGAGAACCGTAGGTGAGAACAGGAAGTATACATTGGTTGAAGACTCTTGTTTTTAAATATCGGGGGTATTTTCTATTTTTTAGTATATAGGAAAGTTTTCCGAAGGATACCCAAGCCAACCGTATCCTTCTCTTTATTTCTCCGGTCTGATTTTCTTTATTTAATTTAACTAGTTGTCCCAAATATACATATTCTTTTACTTGTTCTATAGTTGTTTGTGCAATTGTAATTATTAATTCTTCTGGTTGGTTGGTCATAATTTTCGTTTTATTATAATTCATCTGTAGACCTATTTTTGTTGATTCTCTATTTAATTCATCCATCATATTTTGTAATTCTTCCATTTTATCTGTTATTAATACAATGTCGTCTGCATATCTCAAGTGATTCAAGTATTGGCCAAATGTTAATACCCGTTTTTTCCCATTGTAATTTCCTCATAACGTCTTCCAAAGCTTGATTGAATAGTTTGGGTGATATAGTGTCACCCTGTCTGACTCCTCGCCGTATCTTAATAGGCTCCGTTTGTTCAACTATTTTAATGGATGTTGTTGCTTGATCATATATATTGGAAATTTCTCTTCTTAGAGTGCTATATCCCTACGGAACGTCGGCGACTACCATGCTTATAATATTATTATACTGATCTCGGTCTTGCGCTACGTGTAGCAATTGGTCCGCTGTCAAACCTGTCCACTGCCGCAAATTCCTCAACCAAGAGGGTTTCTTCCGTCCTATCCATTTCTTTCCTTCGATTTTACCGTTGAGAATTAGCCGAAGGAACTCATATCTTGGTCCTCTGATTATATGCCCAAGATATTCTAGTTTACGCCTCTTAATAATATTTAATAGAGTTCGTTGATGTCCCATTCTTCGAAGAACTTATTCGTTTCTGGTTCTGCTAGTCCATGGAATTTTTAGTATCCTTCGATGCAACCGCATCTCAAACAAGTTTCACATCCATACAAAAGTACAGACCACACGTAACATCTTGTAAACTTTTCACGGATTTCCAAATTTAATGAGTTATTGGATAATAAAGGCTTGAATTTTTGAAATGAGTTTCTTGCCTGTTCAATTCTACATCGAATTTCGTAATTATTGGAAATTTAGTCCGTATATATATATATATATATATATATATATATATATATATATATAATATATATATATATATATATATATATATATATATAGTCTAATCTCCAATTTTTTAAAGATTTCTTTACTGCCCAATGTTCCACCTTATCGAATGCTTTTTCAAAGTCTACAAATTCCTTATACATTGGGATTTGATTAATTAATATTTCAATTTCGCCTTTTCAATTAATATTTTTATCGTAAGCAGATGGTCGCTTGTACTGAATCCTTTTCTAAAACCGGCTTGCTCTCTTGACTGGTAATTATCTAACTTAGTTGTTAATCTGTTTGTTAGCAGTTTAGTTAACAGTTTGTACATTACATTAAGTAGCGTTATGGGCCTATAGTTTTTCAGATCGTTTCTATCGCCTTTCTTAAATAGTAATAATGTTATTGCCTCGTTCCATGTGGTGGCTATTTGTTTTTTTGTTCAATATTTGATTAATTCATACATAAAGGACTTCCACTGTAGTTTTCCCACCATTTTTTAACATTTTCACAGTCATTCCATCTTTCCCAGGAGATTTGTTATTCTTCATTTCTTTGAGTGCCTTTTTTATTTCATTTTTACTAATTTCTGGTTGTAGGTCAGAGTTAACGTTCTTTATTTTCAGTTATAACTGATTACGGATTTCTTGGGTTGGTTTTTGTTCTGTTTTATAGAGATTTGTATAATATGCGTGCGTTATCTGTACAATTTCTTGTATATTGTTGGTTTCCTCTCCTTCTTTGTTCTTTATGCTATTAATTTGTATGTTTCCAGGTTCTGCTTTTAGCACTTCATGTTTCTATTTGTTTAAATGGTTTTCTCTACCTTTTCTTCCTGTACTCTCCGTTTACACTCCTTGATATTTTTTCTAATAGTTTTGTTTGTTTCTTTGTATTCCATTTTATTTCTGTCCCCTTGTTCTAGTAATGTTCTTCTTGTGTTTATAAGAATATTTGTTTCCTGGAATATGAAACTTTCTTTTTGTGTTGTTGTCTGTGCTATTTCTTTACCCACTTTCATTAGAGTTTCAGTAAATATCAAGTTTATTTCATTTATATCTTCCTTAGTCGGCAATATTTCCTTTATTCTCTCTTCATACGTCTGTTTTTCTTGTTTTAGTTTTTCCATGTCTAATTTCTGATTATTTTCCATTTTCTTTCTTGTTTCAAATCTACTATCAATGTATATACTACATTTATAGTAAGTGATACAAAATATAAATTAATACAATACCTGCCAAATTAGTTGTTCGCCCTCCTTAGCGTATTTGGAAACCGATAAAGAGAAACTCCTTGTATAGTTTGTTTTAACAACGCCAGATAATCGCCGCCTACACAAATTCTTATGACATTCAAGCCGCAATTAAACCATACTCGTTCTTAAAAAAAAAGTACCATTAATAATATCCATAAGGTCTATAGTCTTTACACGGCGTCGCCGCTTCCATTTATCTTTCGTAGTGCTGATAACTGACATGCCAATTGACAAAGAATTTGTTTTTACGTATAGGTGGTCAAATAAGCGTTTTTGCTAACTTGGTGCTACGTTAATAGGTACCAAAATTATGTTCTGAAACATTCAAAATATTAAATTTTTTATGCTTGTCTGTCAAAGTAATTAAATTAAATTAATTAAAATGCTCACTACATAATTTGGAATACTTGGTCGGTTAATTTGTTTATTACCTGTGAAAATAAACAGAAACACCTTTTTTAAACGATTTAGTACAACCATATTGCACTGCATGAAATTACTATTTTTTGGTAAATCGATTGTTTTTACCACCACAATGTTTAGTCCTTTAAAAATAGTAAAATGTATGCATACAATGTATAATTTTAAATAAACCAACACGCCCAATAACAATATTAATAATAAATAAGCAACGTGCTGTAACCTAGGCAATGTACGTTCTACCAAAAATGCAAATGGCGGATGAATAAACAAAGGATTCAAAAAATTTGACTAGTACGACCTCAATTAGTTTGATTTATTTTGTTTTAGTATATACTCCCATATTCATGATTTACTCTTCGATTTTTAAATTAAAAAGTATGAAACTATACGTTTATTCCATCCATTAATAATAGTGGTAGGAATTTTAATGTATCTGACAATTATTCAGCTCAGAAAATCGATTATTTATAATTTAATTTGTTATTTTCAGCTACAATTGCATTGGTCGCAGGAATTCTCGTATGGATTTTATCATTCTTCGTACCAAAATACGCATTCGGACTAGATGAAGCAAACAAATTATCTTGGTTATCCAACGTTCTTTTAAACTTACTACCAAATATGTCTCTTCATTACGGATACTCCATCATTTCTGTATTTGAAGAAAGAGGTAAGATTTACGTGTTGCATGTTACAATTTAAATGAATATTTACTTACAAATAGATCATATTATAGAACGATCGAAAAAAAACCAGGAGTCATATGTGCAATAAAAATTACAATTTTTTAATACAAATTTTAATACAATCTGTTTAAGAACCATAGGCTTATAATAAAGGGTGTTCCATAATGAAATTTAGTTTTCAAATGAGCCTTATGCCGACCCTGCGCGATTTTATGAAGTCGTACCACTACCACAGTATAAAGAGGTTCCACAGTAAAACTACTCATCTGTCGGCACTTTGATCTCAGGAAGTAATACCGGCAAAGTACGAAATTGGTAATCCACCACCGTTAACCTTACAGAGCCGTATTAAAATTTTCTGAGCCTACTACTATAAATTTATTTAAATAAAAAATGCGGCTTCCCATATTTAACTGTCCAGATGGTCTCACTAAATGTTAATATTACAAAAACAAAGGGTTTAATAAATTAAAAACAATATTATAATTCATTGTTTATATTTTTCAACGGTATTTTAAATATCAACGGTATTGCGCAAGTTTTAAAATCTCAATGGTTTTTAATATATTGTACATACAGATTGAACCAAATTAAAACGGAACATACAATTTAATACATGTCTGTTTGAACTGCATTTAAAATAGTGGACCAATATAAAACTTGGACAAAAATAAATCCATACCTGGGTATAGACATTGTATAAAATATCGTTCAACAATCTGTCTCGCAACAAAGTTGTTTGCGTAAGACGGGTTTGTCTAAGGAAAAATAATAGTTCAGGAATTGAAGCTCGAAAAAAGTTAAAACCTCGCAATTTTTTCGTCCTGCATATATCCAGTTGAAATTTTAGCAGAAGGTAGGTAATAGCCCAAGGATCAAAATCTATATCGAACCGAAGTGCGCTAAAGGGTTTTAGGGGTGAAAACTACCCCTAATTGTCAAAAATTATAAAATAACATATTAAACCTGAATATGGGTAAGATTTGGTTTGAATTAATTAAATAATGATAATTTTATACTTTTGAATAGAGTTCCATCATATTTCAACCCTTAAAAAGCAACCCTTGTTAGAGATTAATGTAAAAAATTACTAATTCTAAAAAAATGATTTCGCCTTGTATCATTTGGATAAAAATTTGGATTTAAGCTCAATTCACCCGCTGCTTTATAGTTTATGTCATGTCGACGAACCCTGATTGTTCTTAGGGGTGAAAACTACCCCTAATTGTCAAAAATTATAAAATAACATATTAAACCTGAATATGGGTAAAATTTGGTTTGAATTAATTAAATAATGATAGTTTCGTGCTTTTCAATAAAGTTCCATCATATTTCAACCCTTAAAAAGTGCCCCTTATTAGAGATTAATATAAAAAAATTAGTAATGCGAAGAAAATGATTTCACCTTGAAACGACTTGCATAAAAATTTGGAATTAAGCTCAACTTACCCTCTGCTTTATAGTTTATGTCATGCCGATGAACCCTGATTGTTCTTAGGGGTAAAAACTACCCCTAATTTTCAAAAATTGTAAAATAATATTACAAATCCTAAGATGAGTGAAATTTGGTTTGGATTAGTTAAATAGTGAGTTTTTTATACTTTAAAATACAAATTCATACATTTTCAACCCTTAAAAATCAATTGTTATGAGTGCTATAGGTGAAAACAATTTTTTGCCAAAATTTTGCAACTTTTCAACTTTTTAAAATCACCCTTTACAACATTGAAGTTTTTATAAACTAATTTATAAGATATAAATTGAAAAAAGTAGAATTAAATACAAAAAAAATTATCAACATAAAAAGGCACCATATATTCTTATACATTTACATAAATAGTTGAAAATATTTACATTTATAGGTAAAACAATTATAATATTAATTTTATTCGTCATCAATTACATCTTCATCGTGATCTATGTCATCATCATCTTCCTCAATTATTGGTGGACTGTTATTGCACCCTTCACCTGAGCACCCAGAACAAGTAGAGTTACAGTATAAACCAACTTTTCTGTACCCATATGAAACGCCGCATCCTTTTTTGCATTGGCAAAAAATAATTTTCAAAAATTTATCGGGTGCAGGTTGTTTGTTCATGCGTACGGGTAATAACAAACCATCTTTGGAAAACCATCCCCAATCTGTTGCTCTGATATTTTCATTGCCAAGCCATAGACATATGAGCAGATGTTTTATTCTGTTGTATGGGATTTCAAAATAAGAACGCTTAAAATTTCGAATGTATAACGCCCCACTAGCTAATATACCGGTTTTGTAGATTATTATGCTTCGAACTGTACTGTACTATACTAATGGAATTTTCCGGAAAAAAATTAACTGGGTTTTTAACGTATTTCCTTTAATTTTTAACGATAGATGTTTCTTCAAAAACGATTTGTAGAGGTTTTTAATAGCTACAAGGATCTGTGAATTAAATCTTTTTGGAACCCTTGGTTTTTAAATGGGGTGAGTTTAAAGGGCCCGAAAAAGATGGTGCTTGATCGTAAATCGATGCTTTAAACGGCTATATCTCGTCAAATATTCATTGTACAACAAATCTAAATAAAGGATAATTTTAGTCATTAAAAAGCTACAATTTGGTAATTTTTATTTTTTTCATATATTCAGTATTTTCTGGTATATTTAAAAAAATAAGGGTAAAAAATATGAAATTGTAAATCGTTTCTCGCTTTAAGCTGTACTTTTTCTAAAACTAAGCATTTTAAATGGGTCAAACTTCTTGGACGTATTAACAATACATCTACAAAGGGAATTGCAGAAGGGTGAAGATCGATTTTAATTATGGGGGTGGTTAGGGTGTTGTATTCCTAGATTTTTTCGTAAAAAATGAGGTATTGACCTTATTTTTTTATGATAGGTCTATTTATGCTCTTTAAAGAAGGTTTTGTGAGTTTTCTTCCAAAAATGCATCATTTTCCCGATATTTGACTTTGAATCTTTCAAATTTGGCATTTGAAGAAAACCGCTGAACATTGATATTGTATTTGTAATTGTATTTGTCTTTTTAAAAGCTACAAATTTGTTCTCTACAATTTTTTTGATAAAATGCACCATTTTCGAGTTATTCGCGAAAAATCGATTAAAAACGTGGATTTTTTCGTCTAAAAGTTGTTACTTTCAATCGCGAATAACTTGAAAAATATCATTTTATAAAAAAAATGTATAGCACATTTTTTGTTTAGAATCACTGTTCTAATCGAAACCTGTAGTTAAAACGTAAAAAAATTTTCACCCCGGAGATGGGGTGGCAACCACCCCTAGGCTTTGGCGCACTTTGGTTCGATATAGATTTTGATCCTTAGGCTATTACCTACCTTCTGTTAAATTTCAAGTCAATTCACGCCGCACGAAAAAATTGCGAGGTGAAATGCTACATTTCCTGGACTACCTATAACTGGTTTGACAGCATAATCGTAGATTTATGTGTAGCTTTCAATTTTTATGAGTTCAGAATCCAGCAGCCCACTGAAGTATGGGATTTTTAATAATATAATTATTTGACAATCTTTTGTTGGCCAACCAGCTACAGCAGAATTGAGCCGAAATACATTATATTCCTATGTTCCGAATTTATTTCGTTCAATCTGTATATAAACGTTAAATAAAAAGGAGGTTAATTTCGAAGCTCTCACGGCATCGGCATTACTATACTCTGTTTTTAAACCAGGAGGAGTAATTCAAGTTTACCGCGTCATAACGCTTGTTTATAATTCGTCCAACGGCAGGCAAGTTTACTCCACTGTTATGAAATTTTGACATTTATGAAATTTTGTCCTTATTTACATTTCGTAGGTGAATTTGGTTATATCGGCGATTTTTTGTGTTTTCTGCATTATTCGTTTAGTTTTAGTTGTAGTCTGCAAAAAATTAATTAAATTTTGCAATAGTCTTTTCGTCAAATCAATCGCGTAATGTGCAAGAATACATCAATTAAAATTCAAACTGCTGAAAAGATGTTTTGTGGTGATTTTTAGCCACAAATTTAAATAAAAAAAATTCTCTTCGTCTTTCTTATTTTTAACAATTTCAACAATTTTTTAATAAATTAAACGAATATTAACTATTCTAATTCGGAAATAAGCTACAATTTAACTTTGAAAAAATAGTTTTATTAACGTTTCGTCTTCCAAGTCAGACGTCGTTGTCAAAATACAAAAATAAATTATTGTCAACAGATCAACAAAGCATCTGCATTGTCAGGATGTCTGCCAGAAGATAGTCTAGTCAAATCCATTTTTAAACTATAAGTAAATACAGTGATCAAAGGAGAATGAGTTGATGCGTTTTTAAGAAAATTATGTCCAGTGTTATCTATTACACAATATTATCCACTTTCAGTAACATTTAGGTTGTATGAATTAGAAATCAGTCTTAAGAATAAGAAAAATACTTCGCCGGGAATAGGAATATATGTACGTTATATAATGTTGAAAAATTTATATCAAAATAGAAAAAGAACACTATTAAATTTTTTTAAATCAAGAACAAATCAAATCAGAAGATATTTCAGATAGTTGGAGAGAGTACCGGGTGATTCCTATTCTCCTCCTAAAAAAATGAGGAACTTGGACAATATATGGCAAAATAGCTCTTGAAATAAATATAGAGCTGCATAAGAATTTATTATATTATAGAAGAAGTAATTATCAAAAAAATACATTATAAAACTAAATTATGAATTACTTAACTAACTAAATTATCAAAAAATATAAAAAGGATTATTTATTAGAAATTAATGTTAGTATTAGTTTACGCATAAAATTGTATACAAAACATGACTTATAAGTAAAAACAAAAATTAAAATTTGAGAATGTATTTAGTGTCCGCAGTTATATAAACCCAAACAAACAACACGTTTTAAAGCTAATTATGTTTCCAAATTATTTATTTCCTATGTCCTTTTGTCTTAGATACTTTAAAATTTCTATTAATTATTTTTAATGTGTAATATATTCTTA